TAGCTTTTTTTTTTTTATTTTGGCTACAGTCAGTTTAACTTAGTCCTTGTAGAATTCTCTCCTGTCGTGCTTGTGTTCTTATACAGTTGCTTATTCCACAGATTAATGCACTGCACAAACCTGCTTATGAGCATCCTAAGGATCTGAAAGCCAGCGGAGGACGTCTGCGTGTTGGCTATGTCAGCTCTGACTTTGGCAATCACCCAACTTCCCACCTGATGCAGTCCATTCCTGGAATGCACAATCCTGAGAAATTTGAGGTAGGTGATCTTTATTACAACCTATAGTCTCAGAATTGACTTGGTAAACACACAGTACCTATTACAATGTCTTGTCTTAAGTAAATTGAAAAGCTGGTTTGACTGAAATATTTGCTCATGCTTTTTTCCATAGGTGTTCTGCTACGCACTCAGCCCTGATGATAGTACTAACTTCCGTGTGAAAGTGGTAGCAGAAGCTCATCATTTCACAGACCTCTCACAGGTAAAAGATATGAGCTGGATAAGGCTCCTGATCGTTTTGAACGAGCTGGCCATTTAAAGAAAAGATGGAGGGAAAAAAAAGCTGGTTTATGTGATGCCAAAAAACACTGTTGCCTTTCACCTCTAGATCCCTTGCAATGGCAAAGCAGCCGATCGTATTCACCAAGATGGAATCCACATTCTGGTCAACATGAACGGATACACCAAGGGAGCCCGAAATGAGCTCTTTGCCCTCCGCCCTGCCCCTATTCAGGTAAGTTCTAAATAAGATTTCTGAGCGTTGTATCCTGTTTAGACAGAAAACTGCATCTTTATGGTCATATGCACGCAGACGGTTCTTTTCAATATTCTGACAATGAAGAATGTTTCTGCCCATTTAACAGGCTATGTGGCTGGGTTACCCTGGAACCAGTGGGGCTCCTTTCATGGACTATATCATCACTGACAAGGAGACATCACCTATGGAAGTAGCTGAGCAGTATTCTGAGAAACTTGCCTACATGCCCAATACGTTCTTCATTGGAGACCACGCCAATATGTTCCCTCACCTCAAGGTTTGTTTGTCTTCACATTGCTGCCATTTGTTTCTGTGGTCTTGGCGTCTTCTTTAAACATCTGTATGAGACAACATAACATCAAATATTCTTTTGTTTGACCCACAGAAGAAGGCAGTGATTGACTTCAAGTCTAATGGACACATCTTTGATAACCGCATCGTTCTTAATGGTATTGATCTGAAGGCCTTCTTGGACAGTCTGCCAGATGTCAAAGTGATAAAGGTGAGAAAGGATTATTTTATGAACCTTGAATAACCAATTGAGTTTAAGTTGTATATATGAGCATGTGAACACTTATTTTAAAAACAGCATTTTGTCAGAAGTATTTTTTTTAAACTATAGTTGCACCTTTAAGTTGACATTGTTCTCTGTGACCAGATGAAGTGTGACAACAATCAGGAGGCTGCTGGGGACACAAATGGAGCTCTGTCAATGCCAGTTATTCCCATGAACACAGCAGCTGAAGCAATCATCAACATGATCAACCAAGGCCAAATCCAGGTCACAATCAATGGCTTCACTGTCAGCAATGGCCTGGCTACCACACAGGTAAATCTAACTTGAACTTACTTGTAAATATACATGCAAACATTAAGAGATATAGCAAAGGGCTCGGAAAATCTACAAATGCAGAAAACTAAGCTGAGTTTCCAGATCTTTAGTGAAAATTAGTTTTTTAAGATTGGGTCTTGGTATGGTCTCTTTGTGAAAGGTGTAAGATAGGGGATTATGGTAGGACTACAGATTGACTATGAAATGGTACAAAATGACTATCTCATCTTTAACAGCATTATATTACCACTTGACACAGTCAAGTCTTGTTACAGTTTAAAACTCTTGAGACCACTCGAACTACAACAGCTACAATGTTTTGTTCCCCATTTTAGATCAATAACAAAGCAGCAACTGGGGAAGAGGTGCCACGCACGATTGTTGTGACGACCCGCTCCCAGTATGGTCTCCCTGAAGACTCCATTGTCTACTGCAACTTCAACCAGCTCTACAAGATTGACCCTCCTACTCTTCAGATGTGGGCCAATGTAAGTTAGACAGACTCCATTACAACAACAGCTGAGTGTTCCTTTAGCAACATGGAAATACTTAGGATTATGTTAAAATTAAATTTTAAATCTCCCCTGTTGCTGCAGATCCTGAAGCGTGTGCCCAACAGTGTGTTGTGGCTTCTTCGCTTCCCTGCTGTTGGCGAGCCCAACATCCAGCAGTACGCTCAGAACATGGGTCTGCCTGGCTCTCGCATCATTTTCTCGCCTGTGGCCCCCAAGGAGGAGCATGTGAGAAGGGGCCAGCTGGCTGATGTGTGCCTCGACACTCCTCTGTGCAACGGTCACACCACAGGCATGGATGTTCTATGGGCTGGAACACCAATGGTTACAATGCCAGGTGAGAATGGTTGGTTGCTAACTACTTTTTTATACAACAAAATAGAAGTGATTATATTGTTGTCAGATTTTTATGAAAATATACGAACATCAATAGAACAAATCACAAGTGAAGACTGATTTTAATTTAAACCTTTCTAGGTGAGACTCTTGCCTCCCGTGTGGCTGCCTCACAGCTTAACTGTCTGGGCTGCCCCGAGCTAATAGCCCACAGTCGCCAGGACTATGAGGACATAGCAGTCAAACTAGGCTCTGACATGGAATAGTAAGTACAAATTTATCCGATCACCTTAACAAACACATTGTCCTTTTTGTATGTCAGCTGCCCACTCTGATCACTTTGTCTCTCATGCAGCCTAAAGATGGTCAGAGCACGCGTGTGGAAGCAGCGAATCTGCAGCCCCCTTTTCAACACCAAACAGTACACAATGGACCTGGAGAGGCTCTATCTGCAGATGTGGGAGCACAACAGCAACGGCAACAAGCCAGAACACCTCGTCAAACACCTGACAGTAGAGACCAGTGAGAACGCCTGAACTGGAAGCACGCAGATTTCTTCTCCCCTATATCCCGACCATTTTTAACCATTATCCGCACCATAGTTTGAATGGTCAGTATCCACTCCAGCTCCCTCTCCTTGAGTGATTGCCTCCATCTCTCCCATTTGCTATCAATGGGACTCTTACTTGCAAGGAGCCTACACATGTTCACATTTGTCCCTGATTACATTGGTCGTTGCGTCACACATCTGCATCTCCTGAGCCAGATTGAGCCTGAGACTTTCAGGCGTCTCATCTGAGACTCTTGCCCTGAAACACAATATATGTATTTGGTGAGCATGAGAGGATTGTGAATGCCCTCCCTTCCCCTTCAGTACTTGGATCAGTGGATTTTTTTTTTTTTTTTTCTCCTGTCGGTGTGCATACAGGACTAATTGCAGCTTGTTGAGAGAATGCCCAGCCGTCGTTACTTGTTAATCTATTTATAAATGGATTAAGAGTGTTGTGTGTTTTAAAATGACAATATTGCACCATGAAAATTGTAACTGACTTAAGTTTGATCAGCTTTAACATGCAACTGTAAAATCTAAATTGAAAATGCTCCTTAGTTTGTCTTAAGCTGTTCTTAAATGACTGCAACACGTAGATGCGTACGTTTTGAGGAACGGGTCGAGATGAAGATTGCTTTCCCTCACCAAATGCCAACTTTTATTTTTGTTAAATGGAATATGTTCGTAAGCTGTTGTCCATTTTGATGTCACACTAAGCTTGTACAAATTTTTGATTGGACAAAGTTGGACAAAGGAACTTCATTAAAGTCACTGGAAAGGGCCTAAATTTCAGTTCAGTTAGTGAGAGCCAGTCATTAATTGATATTGTTTTTTAATCACACAAACAAGGATCGGGCTTGGTAAGTATTTTGTAAGCAGTTTTTGTTTTTGTATCGTCCGTTAACTGTATGCTGTCAATGATGCCACAAGGCTCTATATATAATAAAAAAATAAAGAGATGGCAAATACTGTATTGTGTTTTGTGCTTAACTGTTGGTAGAAACAATAAGAACTTAAAATTCAACAGCCTTTGTTTTTCACTTTTGAAAACCAGCAGAGGGGTATTGTCTGATATGTGGCAGCAATTAGCTAATTGATATTCCAGTAGATACTGCCTTTCTTGATACTTTTCAGTTCACTGGAGCAGTGAAGGTTCATTTCATGTACCTAAATTCATCAGTCATCGTGAGTTGCCAAGTCCATGTGGTTGCCAAGGTGACCAAAGTGCTGTGGCGCATGTATATCTTTTATGTAAATTAATGTAGCAAAACCAAATTCATTAAATGTATTGATTTAAAAAAAATATACTCAAACACAAGTTTTAAATGTCCAGTATATTAAAGTTTTTTTGTTTGTTTTCATATTGTTGTTGCACACATATGAAATCCCATCCAGCAGAAGGAGCACAAGACTGACAAGACCCGAAGGTACCATCATCTGAGCCCATCATACCAATATTTAAACTAAAAGGAACAAAACTTTTTTTTTTACATTTTCACTCCAATGGCCAGTATTTTTTACCAGACAATGCAGATGTAAAATAAAAAAAACAAGATGATGCTTCAAAACATTTTTTCCTGCAAAACTGACTGTATTTGTAGCACTGCACTTGCATAACAACTGAGGGATTACAGGGTACAATCATATGTATCTGCAATTTTAAGAAAAAGTTCTACATTTCATAATATACCTAATAACAGAAATCAGTTTAAAGGGTCGGACAACCAGTGCCTTACAGTTTATACATTACTGGGTTGTTGTAGCATTTTTCACTCAAAGTTTTTTTTTTTGTTTTTATGTATTTATTTACTTATTTATTTTTAAATATAACTTGGAAACGGTGTAGTTACATGGAAGTATTATGTTAATACAGTTGCCGTTATCACAGCTCTAATTTTAAACGACCATGCGTTTGGCGGTGGGCGTGGCCATGACGTCACGTGTCATTGGAAACAGGCTCTGATTGGCCGAATATCCGTGACAACTTCCGGTATAATGGCGCACACAATTTGAATTTACCTTCAATAGGTTCCGTCTGCTTCTTTTTCTTTTATTTTTATCAGCAGAGGCGTGTTCGGTAATTGAATCTCTAATAAACTATAATTTAATGATACAACTCTTGAAATGAGAGTTTATGCAACGCAATACTAACGAAAAACATTGAACCAGCTACTGTTAGCAGCTTCAGTGTTTAGTCTATATTAGTGTCGCTGCTGTTGGCTAGCAAGTTGCTAACGGTAACGTTCTCTGGCTGCAGTTTACGCTTATGTGGCAATAAAACCTCCAGCTTATACATTTTAATTTGTAGCTGCCGGAAAAATTAAGTGATTCCACTTTTTTAAATCACTCGTCTGAACTGTTACCTCGCTTTACTTTGTGATTTTATTGGTTGTCTATTATCTTATATATATCACAGGCTTCAATGTTAAATGTCCCGTGTTGTGTGTGCGCTGTTTTCAGGGTGGCGACAAGTATGAGCCATGATACCTGCAAGTCGTTTGAAAGAGTTGCTAAAAAGATGGGATGGATGGATGATGGAGGACTGGATGCAGCAGAGAAAAAGGTTTGTTACATGTTTCATTAACCTATGAAACCCACGCACACTTTAAATTACAACAACCAACAGAACAGTTCATCTTTGGGTCAGAAGTGCAATGTTTTGGTGGGTGCCTAAGAGAAAACAAAAGCAGAATGTTTTCCATCCAGTTATATAAAAGAGCAAAATATATATTCTAGACTCGTTACAGGTAAGGTGACATGTTTTAAGCCTTTTTCTGTTTTCATTTAGATGATTGTGGCCCATAGGTCATGAAAAACAGAAATCCAATATCTTAAATTATTAGAATATTTCATAAAATCAATCAAAACATGATTTGCAAAACATAAATGTCCAACTATGGGAAAGTATGTTCATTCACACTCAGTACTTTACCAGGTGTTAATGCATCATTGATGTGTGGCATCCAATAAGTTATAAAGAAACGCTGCTGTCATTGTCTCTAGTTGATGAGTGTAATTAGCAAGACTCGTCATGCTGCCACCAGCGGCCATCGATCAGCCTCTGAGTCCAGACGCACGGTGGTGGGAGACTCCAGTGATGATGAATTTGACCAGTGTGAGTGATTTTTACTTGGACCACTCAAGGTTGCAATTCTGGTTGCATATACAGGACTTTTACTCATTTTATCCCTCCCTTTCTTAGTTCTTATGGAAAGGTCTACACCCCAAGCTAAAGCTGCTTCACAGAAGCCACGCAGTGCTGCAAAGAAAGAAAGGTATGACAAAACAAAAACACAAATGATTTTGCTTCTGTTTAGCATTTTACCCCTGTTTTATCTTGTAACACTTCTGGTCATGGAAATGTAATTGTAAAACTAGTTTTGTTTTTTTGTTTTTTTCAGCTCAAATGTTCTTGTGGTGAGCTCAGACGACGATGTCACTTTTGAATCATGTGAGTACTGGCCTCTTTCTGCCTGCTGGGATTTTGTCTCTATGTGCAGCTGTAAGATTGCGTGTTTTTTAATCATATACTCTTTTTGCATCTTGAAGTTCTGCAACGAGTAAAAACTCCAAATACCAAGCCTAAGAAAACATTAGACAGTCGGAGTGGGAGTGAAGACAGGTGAGGTTTTGATGCATTTTTTGTCCTTGAAGCTTACCTGTCAGTTGAAATGTTTCATTAAATAATTCACCTAACTTTGTTCCACAGCCTCAAAAACTTCATAGTGGATGACTGCTCATCCGACGATGACTTTATTGAGACCAAATCTTTTTTCAAAGGTATTGTTAAATTCTATTTCTTTAAAAATATGCCCAGTACTGTTGTTGTTTTTCCCCCAAAAAAAGCAATAGCCCAGAGACTAATACTTCCACACTTTCAATTTGACATGGATGCTACATTCAAGGCCCAGTCTCAGCTTTAATGTGAGAAAGAACTGTGGGTGAAATATGGCTGTTTTAAAACATGATGACAAAATATGGGGTTCAGAAATAATTCCACAGATATCCATGCAGTCAAACAAAATCATATTTTACATTTTTTTTTAAATTGTTTGCAGGCAATTACAGCCTGAAGTCTTTAACCCATAGAAAACAGCCAATGTATCTTCACTGTTGATGCTTTCCCAGATCAGTAGACTGTGGTTTAATCAGACTCAGATCAGGAGGAAGCATTTATGCACACATCCAGGCGAACAATTTGATCTGTGCAGTTACTAGAGTGTTTTTTCTTCACCATGCAAATGATTTTCTGGTCATCCTCAAGATTTGTGCTCCTCAGTTTAGCAAGTTATTTGTCATTTTTCCATTTTCTTGTGCACAGTTCCTTTTTGCAGTGTATGTATGAACTGATGAGCTTAGCAAACGATCTGTGCTTGAGATTCCTGACAGATTTTTGCTATTTTAAGCCTCATTGTTGTCTTTACTTTCACATCTTTACTCTATCACTCCACCTCAGTCTAATTGCCAACTCTCAATCAATTCTGTGCCACATCTGAGCTTATTTGTGTCTGAATTCGTATTGAAACACCACAAAACTAGCCAAGAGACTTGAGATTTTATTATAGTATGCATTATGTTGTTCAAATTGAATATGTTAAAGCATAGCCTGAATAACTAAAAATAGGCAAACACTTGTGGTCTGCACTTTATATTTGTAAATCAGTGATTTTGTATATCTTCTGTTTTTCAGTTCCTAAGAAGAGCAACACTCCAGCATCCCATCATCCCCTGAGGAAACCACTGTCTGAGTTTAACTCCCCTGTTTTCATTAGTGACAGTGATGATGATGATGATAATATCATTGTCAAGAGTACTTGGAGGACTCGTCATTCAAAGCCGAAGCCCCTGCCAAAGGCTAACGAGAACAAGTCTCCACTGTGCTATGAAAAGAACAGTTCACCGTCACTGCCACTGCCTCCTGTTCCTTCTTTTTCTCTGTCCTCCTGCAAAAATCCAACATCTGTGACCACTCCCAAGCGCACTCTTTCAGTACCTTCAAAAATGGACGAGTCAGACAGTTCTGAGGACGAGTTCTCCTCCCTCCTGGAGCGACTGAAAAAGAAGAACAATTTTACAGGCACTTCTTTCACTCCTAAGAACACCAAAGGTACAGTAACATCTTAATCTTAGCTGTTGTCATCCTACAATCTCTGGCATTTGCATCCATTCCAATTGTGAGTCTGATATGTGTTGTTTTCATTTTATTTTGATATTAAATGTAGAAATCAGTAAGGAGCCAGCTGTGCCAGTTCCTCCTGCAAAGGGATTCACACTAAAAGGCTCTAAGTCATTAGGGGAAACACCTCTGCATGTGAACACATCAGACAAACCCTCCGTCTTGAAGCCCAAAGTCAGTCAGACTGAGCCCAGGCATGGTCCCATCAGCAGGTACATCTGTTTTCATGTATGGACTTCAATGTCGGGCTGTGTTATTGTTTATTGTACTGTGAGCACCTTTCTGTTTGTCACTCACTCCGGTTGTCTTGTCTACACAGACTTTTGCCTTTATTCTGCCCTCTTCATTTCATTCTAGAGTAGCATTGTGTAAAACTCCAGGCTGCTTCCTGCAGTCGCTCTCAAACCCTGGCTCCAGCTATGTGGACAGTTTCAAGCGGAACAAGGAAGAACTCACAAGCAAACTCTACAGACTGTACAATACCAGTGTATTTGACAGCAAGGTATGAACATAGTTTCCTGTTTCATTTATTTATTTGTTTTTTGAATGTCAAGTTTTGGAATGCACCATTCAGACCTTGAGCATGTATTAGGTAAGTGTCTTTTGTACTTCAGGCTCTGTGCTTCAGCATATTCAGCTTGCTATAGGAAAAAAATAATGAATGCTAAATTAAAATGACAAGTTTGTGCTTTTATTTTCATAGGTTTACATAAATATAGAAAAAAATTGTGTGTGATGTATGGAGATGAATAACTGAACATGTACACAGTGTCCAACAAGCCATACCCCATTTCAATAACTTGTAAACATATTCAAAGCTGGAATATTGAAATCATCTAAAATTCAAATTGAATGTGCTGAAAGGCACAACTGGAGGAACCGTATGTGTAGCGATTATGATCTGGATTCTCTAAATACGTTACGGTTTATTTACTTTGTCAACATATCGTCTGTTTTCTTTTCTTTAATGTCTGCCATTATTTTTCTAGCTCCCCGCCAACATGTCAGTGACCTGGAATAAGAAAATGCGGAAAACAGCTGGCTACTGTATTACAGGGCAGGAGAGAAGTGGAGGGAACCGCTACGCCCGCATTGAGCTGTCAGAGAAAGTCTGTGACTCAGCAGGTAATGCTCGAGCAACCCAAATAGTTTAAAACAATAAGCTGTGACTTCTCAATGGTCCCTTAATATAAAGTGTACAACAGAAGTGAGCGCACCCACAAAAACCTCACAGAAAAGTCAGTAGTTCTGAGTTGAGTAGTGGAGCATTTCCTCCTGTGTCAAATTAAAAACTAACAGTTTGTATTTCCAATATTAAAACGCAGACTTCACAGTAGGAACGTCATGCAACAAAAGTCAATACACCTTTCATTACTGACATGCAAATCTTTCATTTTTAAAATACCTCATACGTCTACCTACCAAGACACACTCAGTCTTCCTCAGAACAGAGGATGCCAAATGTCTGAAGAGATGTTTTGCCATTCTTCAGAGACATTTTTTCGCTGCTCTTTGCTGGAGGGCTTCTAAAACTCTGCCTTTCTCTTTAAAGGTGTTGTATTGATTTCAAGTTGGCTGGCAAACTTGGCCAAGTCATAGGGTTTTTCTTTTCTTCTTCTTTTGAAAGTTTTTTGTGTGATTTTGGCAGTGTGCTTTGGATCATTATTTTAGTGGAATATTATTCTTCTGTCAAGCTTCTGCAGGCTGAGAATCATCTCGTCAGCTAGTGTTTTGGTATCTCCATGTTTATTTGTGGTGCCATCTATAAATGTCATCTCCCTAACGCTTACACACTCATGCAGTGCCGTATTATCACATGACCACCTCTGTGCTTCACTGTAAACACTATACTGTGGTAGTTCTGGCCATTTTCCCATCAAACCCATCTGAGCCAGACACATTTATCTTGATCTCATCTGACCCAAGAATGTGCTCCCAGTATTCATAAGGCTTCTTTTCATGTTCTTTGGCAATGTTTCATCTGGCAGTTTTGTGCCAAAGATGTAAGTAAGTAAGGTTTTTTTAATGGACCCCATCCAAAGAGGTGGAAATTATGCAAAATCCTGCAAACTGTCAGAGAGATCACAGAAACTCTGATTTCCATTATTAACCCTTCTGCCAAGTCTGAAGCACCTATGCGTCTGTTTTTCAGAGCTACATTATGCAAACAGAGCGCTGTCTATGGCATCACTTTATGATTAGTGGCACTATGGCTCGTTCTATACCTCCTGATTAACGCTTCTTCAACTGTGTTTTGACTTTGACTTTTAGTCTTCTTGCTGTATCTCATTCTATCTTTGTGAAGTCTCACAAATGATTTCTCAGTGCCTCTGAAAGTTCTTATTAATGTAGAATCATGATGCAGACTTGCAGGTAGACACAGTCCAAAGATCCCAAACTGATAAAGTTTTTTTGTTTGATAATCATATTTATGCAGTCAGGCCTATTGAAAACACTCAATTTTTGTTTTAATGATCACAGGTTTGCCAACTTGTTTGTAAGTGGTTACCAGTGTATTCACTTTGGTTGCATTGAGTTTCTACTTTCTACAGCCTTTTTTTAAAATATGTGTTTTTCATCGCTCATAACAGAAAATATACTACTTGCAAATTTAGAAGTAATGCAATTATTAAGAGGTGGTACAATCTTGTATCATTTGACATTCAAGTGATATTGTACTCAGTTTCATATACTGTAAATAGGAAGTATTTCATGCATAATAAAACTGTCCTGTCCTCTCCGTTGTCCTTCCCTCGCAGATCGTCTCAGGGACACACTGATACACGAGATGTGTCACGCTGCAACGTGGCTGATTAATGGCGTTCGGGACGGCCACGGAAACTTCTGGAAGCTGTACGCTCGCAAAGTCACACTGGTGCATCCCGAGCTGCCCATGGTCACGCGCTGCCACAGTTATGACATCAAGTACAAATTCCAATATCAGTGCACCCGCTGCCAGAACACGTACGTATATCCATGCAGTCAAACAAAATCATATTTTACATCCATCCATTATCTATACATCGCTTAATCCTCACTAGGGTCATGGGGGGCTGGAGTCTATCCCAGCCAACTTAGGGCGAAGGCAGGGGACACCCTGGACAGGTCACCAGTCTATCACAGGGCTACACTTAGAGACAGACAACCAAGCACACTCACATTCACACCTATGGACAATTTAGAATCACCAATTAACCTCAACATGTTTTTGGACTGTGTGGGAGGAAGCCAGAGAACCCACGCTGCACAGGGAGAACATGCAAACTCCACGCAGAAAGATTCCGGTGCCCCCGTGACTGCTTTCACATTAATTAAAAACACTTATCACATATTTTTCTTCATTGTTCACCATTTATTTGTGCAAGCTGATTTTACCTTTTACTATTCTTCTTTGCAGGATCGGGCGCCATTCCAAGTCACTGGACACACAGAAGTTTGCGTGTGCCCTCTGCACAGGTCAGCTTGTCCTTCTGACGCCTTCTAAGCCGCGCGCTCCCACGCCTTTTGCCAACTTTGTCAAAGAAAATTATGGAAATGCACGACAGGAGCTGGCGGGACAAAGCCACGCTGAAGTGATGCGCAAACTCAGTGCAGACTTTGCCTCAAAGACTAAACTCAGTCAAAGCTGAGCCGGTAACGTCACATACATACAGGAAGACGTTTCAAATTCTGAAATACCTCAGTCAGCTAATTTTACATTACTGAGCAGCTGTGATTATTTTAATTTAATCTGTTTCGTTTCGTTTTTCATGTCTGTTCTATGTATCCAGTTGCTGTCACTGGAAAAATTGAGCCTAAACAGCAAGTTCGTGTGTGTTTGGAGGAGGTGGTGTCAAACAATGAAATGCATACCACCTGTTCTCCTTCATGTTTACTTCAGTCTTTTATTTGGCATTGTACGGGTCCAGGATAAATATTTGATTTGATCCATATGTTTTTGTATGTTTGGCTGGTGGGATTTTCCCACTGTTATTCAACAAATAAAAGAAATAAAGTTTAAGTTTGTGACGTGGTTTTTACAGACATTTGACATCTTTATATACAGACACAGAATTCTAGAATCATTTTGTTACATTAATGAGGATAAACATTACTTGACTTTTTGTTGCCGGAGAGAACAATATAGACTTTTTTTAAATAGAATTTTATATGCATTAATCAATTTTCAGCCACAGAGTTTCACACTTTCATGTTATTATCAACAAATCACATACCTTAAATAATCAAAATGTATGTCTTAACTCTTATCCACATCAAGGGATTGTTTTTGCTACAAAACTGCTTTTAAATAACGTAGGACAGTTTTTGGGTGTTTTTTTTAAACTCTAGATTGGAAGCATCGTTTACAATATTTTATAGAGAGGAGGTTGTGTTTGTGAGTCAGAGAGGTTGGCGTTATGGTTTCCATGACTGTGCCTCTGCTATCAGGCAAATATTGACGGACGGAACACAGTTCTGAGAAAACGCATTACGATTATCCCAGACTTTTGTATTAATAAGCAAATGTGATCCCGATAACAAATGCAAACTGTTGACACATCTCTGTCAAAAGGGATGAGGTTTAGGGCCTCAGATGTGAGTAAATAATCATGGCACATACGAGGGGGATTCATTTGAAATCAGTCGTCAGAATGAAACGTGTGGCCATGTCTCATATCATAAGTTGGAAGTGACAAGAGAATGACAGTTTTGAAGCACATCTGAAGGTACGTACGCAACATCTTTTAAAAATTATTTCAGCTGTTTGCCCAGCAGAGAGTACAATAAAAAACTAATGTTTTTCTTTTCAGGGGAAAGGACTGTTCTGTCTGATCTGTCAGACATCAGAGGAAACTTTATTATAGACATGTACTGCAATATAACGACAATAGAGTCCCAGGCACAGATTAACTCCACCGTCTTCCACCTGGTTGAGATGGTCAGCATGTGTGTGAGCTGCACCTTGAACACAGTGCTCAGTGCTCCTCTGCTCCTGGTCATCCCTCGCTCCCCGTCCCTCCTCAGACAGACTCGCTTCCTGCTCCTCATACAACTCCTCTTCTGTGACAACCTCCAGGTAGGTAAAACACATTTTGATTCTTATTTTCATTAGATTTATATGAAGCCAGTAAACATTTTACTTATAAGTGAGATGATAACAATTTGCCCTCAGACATTAGAACTGAATGGTTGTCATCATTGCCGTTTCAGCAGCTCATCTGGACAATCAAAACAAGTCTCATAAGTGTCAGAGAAGGCATATCTGTGACCCAGTGTCTGATCTTCTGTGCTGCTAACCAGGCCTGCTCAATGGTTTGTAAAACTTTTATTATATTTGTACAATCCATAATATTTGGTCATTGATTTATACACTAGTCTGCACTGTGAGCTACAGTAGATTCAGAGCTGTGACTCAAAAAAAAAAAAAAGGCACCCTGTGGAAACTTGGTTCTGAACCAGGTTTCCACAGGGTGTCTGCTCTGGCCAAGGTTTAGATTAAAAAAAAAAAAAAAACACTCCCCACCTATGAGAATGATGAAGATGAAAAGAAAAAGAAAATTTGTGCAATAAGCAAAGAAAACCCCTTGTGAAGCTGCATTTTCACATTTAAAAGCAAACCTGATTGATTTACACTGCAGCACCTTGTGCAGTAAACGTTTACCTTCAGTCAGACTGCTGAACCCTTATTTACAATTGCTGTGATTTTACAGTAAGATTGCACTGAGGAGAAACATCTTCACAGTCAGTAGGAACAGGAAAAACATTGGCTGAGAGAGAGAGATTTCTCTGTCAGTGTAAACATATTGTGAGATGTAAAAATTGTTCTCAGACAGACTTCAAAAGACATAAACTTGTTCTTGAAGTTACTGTGTGATATGTGTGAATAATTCAGGAGAAAGCAAGGATGAAACCACAAAAGTTACTGTAGAAACAAGATTCATTTTGACTGGAGGCTTCTTTGAAAGTGCTGTGATGGACATAAAACCAGGCTTTAGTTTCTGCTTCTCCATAGCTTCTTCTTCATCTATTATTAAAGCTGAATTAGTCAAACTTTTGTATGGCAAGTAACAAACATTTTTCCACAGGTGGACCTCCTCCTCAGTACTGCTCTGGCTGTGGACCGCGTCGTGGCTATCAAGTGGCCCCTGCATCATGATTTCTTGATGCGCACACAATGGAAAAGAGTGACTGTTGTATCCATATGGACCTTACCAATTGTGCTCACCACTGTGTCTTTGATCATCAGCCTCAGCACCATCCAGGTCAGTTTCACCCTCCCCCGCTGTCGGCCTCTCATCTTTACGCCCTGCCTGTCGGAGACATCGGCTGTGATACTCTACTCCACTGTGTGCACCGCTGTGGTGGTGCCTCTCTGCTACCTGATCATCCTGGGATGCTTCTGCCTGCTCTGCTGGGACATGCGTGTAGAGCTGCTCTGCACCGAGAGAGCTTGCGTGACTCTGACCCTCCAGGCCGTTCAGACCATTCTCTTTTCGGTTCCTGTGCTCATGGACAGCTACCTGATCCCTGCATACCTGCATAGTGATGCTCTTGACATAGCAACCACCATCACCTACAACGTGGGGGTGTCGCTCATCCCTCTGGTCTACGGGTATCGCTCTCGGGAGCTGCAGAAACGAATCCAACAGGCTGCGCACATGAACAAAGTCAACAACGAAAGTCAGTCTTAATGACTCAAGTTTTTAGCTTTGCAGCTCGAGCGACATTACCGTGTTCACCACACTTTGAATGTACTTGTTTGAAAAAGCAATGTTGGATAGCTGAGTTAATGTGCTGTGTTAAGGGAGCAGCATCTTCCTGTAAGTGTTTGTAATTCAAAGGCAAAAAATGTGTCTGTTTTTTTTTTTACAGCAGTGTGGGAGAAATCCAAAACAAAGTCAAGCTGTTCGAACACTAACAACAAGACGTGCTTATAGAAATGAAAAATACAAGACGGGACAACCTGCTTCAATATATTTAATCTGTACCTTAAACACTAATATGCTGTGGATCTACTCATCAATGCACTATATCATTTACAAAACATTTAAGAAGAGGAAATATGCACAACAGAAGGATAAATACTTAAAGCTACAAGAAAAATACATCCGCAATCATATAGTTTGAAGATAATGGGACCTGTGGGGAAGGTGAAGCAGGTCGGAGAGGTCGGGCAGTTTCCCTGATTGTGATGATCGGCCCTTCCAGAGGCACAGGCACAAATCCACAGGCAGCACGGAGATGAGATGCCACTTCCTAGTCAGCAGTAGTTTACCAGCTTCTCACATTACAAATTTCTCAGGAAAACCAGTACAAAAAGGCCAAAACATGAAACACTGGAGTTAGCGGTATGATGGGATCTAACATGACGCACAAAGTCTACGACCAAACAAAGCACTGGAATGTATTGTGTTTCTCACTGTATCGAGGCAGGCACTGAGAAGTTCTTGACAACTAATAATAAGCTACATTTCATCAATAATATAATTCATGTATATTCTTCATAAAGGTATGCAGCATTCCAAACAGAAAAGAGAAAACTCTCCTACTGTTTTGGCAGATGTAAAGTAAATTATCATGTAAGTCAAAGGAAGATAATTTGGCATTTCACCAGACATCCTGTTCAAGCGTTTCTTTCCATTGTAGTATGATAGTTAAATGTTGACTAATTTTAAGTAAAAACGTATGGCACTACACAGCAATAAGGGCTTTTCTAGACAAATGTACGAGCAGCATTACATATAAAACCACCGCTGGTCCCCTCGACACTGCGTCACCGACCCTGACGTCGTGCACCTCCTTCAGTACAGGCAGGTTTTCTTCATGATGCGCAGGAACTCCTGCTGGTTCACTTCTCCATCTCCATCCCTGTCTGCTTCATCTATCATTTCCTTCAGAAACACACAGTACAAGAGGAAATGAAAAGAAGAACGGAGGGGTGGAGCAAAGCAAACCGAGCTAGCACGATAGCATTCATGAGCCACGGACGTGTTGACATTATTCAAAATTGCACTCGTGGCCTTTGGCTTTGTAAACACAACCATCCTGTGAGCCGGAGGCACCCACTTCTATCATTTTATTATTAGCAGACAATAAAGTGCACACAGTAAAGTGTCTCACCTGGAGCTCATCATCTGTCAGGTTCTCTCCGAGCTCTTTGGCTACTCTCTTTAGATTCTTGAATGAGATCCTGCCCGTCTCGTCGTCATCAAACAGGCGGAAAGCTTTCAGGATCTCCTCTTTGGAATCCTTCTCAGCCTTAAGCCGGAGAATAACAGTCATAAGTGTGCTGACAGGGTGGAGTTAGGATTGTGACACTGACTTAAAGTTTGGATTCTTTAATTTCTGTGAGAAACTCCCTGTAAAACTAAACAAGACTTGTAAAGTAATGGGATTAAATATAAAACTGTTCCTTATACATGTGCTGTATTCGTACCATTTTCTGCGTCATGATGGTGAGGAAGTCGGTGAAGGAGATCTTTCCTGTTCCGCCTTTATCCACTTCACCAATCATCTTCTTGATCTCCTCTTTCTTCGGCTCAAAGCCCAGAGCTCTCATGGACACCTGACATCAGTGTAAGAAAGACGGACAGTGAGTCACACACAGAATTCTGAACAAAAACAGAAATGCAACGTGTTATATTTCATTAACATCTATCCATTCTTTTTTAACATAACAGTTTTTGTTGTTCTAAAAACACGGCATCTTTACAGAACAGAACTGACGACATGAAACAACCAAGTATGCATTATAATACTAGTGGATAATGGGCAGATTGAGAGTGGGGTCTTCGATCAGATATTAGAAGTCAGTGTGTCTACATTTGCACAACGGTTACTGAGGTTGCTGATGCTGGTTTTTAGACGTCTGTCACACTACCTCTGAAGGGCTCGGTGAAGTTAGTGGACATTTTGGGCGACAGATTTATGTCGTCAGACACGTCCATCCAGATCTGAAGCCATTTCTTAGATGACAAATGGTGGACATTCAAGTGCCTGACTGACACTCCAGCATTCCACATACCAACAACCTGTTCTTTCTTTCTTGTCGTCTTTGGCATCGTGGCCTTTGGACAGAGCTGCATTTTAAGGTGGACTTTCATAGTAACCGGTCACACAGTCTGACCCTTGACCTTTCCAGCCACACCTGACAAGGGTGTGGATTCAATTTGTCACCGCTTGAACATCTCAAAAACTTTCTGAGAGCGACCGACTAGACTGAACTCTTTTCTAACAACAGAATTGAGAGCTTGAACTTTGTCATTTACATTGGTACTCAGTGTGTGCACTATGAGTGTTTGAGCCCTTTATACCTTCAGCTCTCTGACATCAATGTATCCGGATCCATCGGTATCAAAGAGCTCAAAGGCCTCTCTGATCTCCTGCTTCTGCTCCTCAGTCAGCTCTGGCTTGGGGGTCGTCTTCTTGCGAGGAGGGGGCACTGGACCCTGCAGGGACGGCCTCTTGGCAATGGTTGCCTGGTGGGGGACACAGGAGGAAAACCCAACACCTACATAACTGCATCATATGCAAATAGTATTTCTGGGGTATTTCTGCTGTTAACAAGAATACTAACGTTAATATCCATAATTCGCAGCTCAGATTCACCACATTAACATGGATTTAGACTATTATCAGATCAGAAATCATCTTCACTCACCATCACTTGCTGTTTATTAGGGTGACAAAAAGGAACTGCAGATCTATGAGGCGATCACTGTTTACGTATGAAGCCTCCCTATCATTTAGAGAGGAGGAGGGGATCAATAAAACGGTTCCTGCTTCACATCAGTCGCTCGTCTTAACCGTTTGATCACACCGCAGGTAGGATCCGCCGGTTATGCATCAAACAACACTATTAATTTCGCAAAAATAGCTTCCAAAATGTGAAGGAAAAAAAAACGTTTCTAGCTAACAGCATGTACACCAGCGGCTGTCACGGCGTCAAGGTGTTTGATTCGTTCACCGTTTGTGCCAGCAGTAGAGCCGGGCGGTGTTTATTACTATTGAGGAGTTACAATAAGATGCAGCCAGGCGCACCTGAGATAGAAATCAAACGCACCAGTCGAACAAAACGATGATTGGCTGCTGAAAATCACGGGGTCACGACACGACCAGAAGATTCAGAGAAAAAATGAATGAAAAAAAACAAATATAGCTTTAAAACAAGTCCTGAAATGTATTACATGTGGCAATGAAGGCAGCAACAAAACACGTTTATTTATTTTTAATTCTTTAGAAAAAGCATTTTCCAGGAGGAAATTTCAGAATTTATTTCTTTATTTCAGAATTTATTTCATAACCACATTTCTTCATTTCTTTTTTTTTCTTTTTAAAAAAAAATAAATTCTCTTTTTTATTTTTTATTTTCTCCTTTTATTTATCAACTATTTTGTTTTCTCATCAAGTAAACATATTGCAGTCAGGATGTACAAGTCAATATAAAACAGTAGGAAAAAACAAAACAAACAAACACAATAACGAGAGGATTTCACACACTGTCTTCTGTTCAGCTCAGTAGTTCAGTAATCACACATTTGTTATACTTTTGTACAGCTGAAGAAATCTATGAAAGGTTGTCATGTTGAGTGAAACGCTTCCAATTTCCCCTTTATTAGATATCTAATTTTCTCCAATTGTAAATTATTCAATGTTTTTTTAAAATATTTTTTTTTTTTTTTTTTTTTTTTATGGAAATCCTTATTTATTTGTGACTGCAATATTCATTTATTTCTGAATAAAATGGCAATCCATACTGTGCAGACTGAAATGAAGAAATATAAACACAGCATGGAGAACGGGAGAATTAATATTTTATAAATGATGCATTTGCCTCTTGTCCTCTGGGAGATTGCCTCCATAGATTCTCTAGTCTCAGGTTTTATAACAAAAATCAGATCATAGATTTTTTTTAATTTTTTTTTAAAGAGAACCCCTTCTAATAATATAGTAGATAATCAATCATAAAAAATGGTCGAGTAATGAGATCGTGGAGAGTAGCTGAAACAACACCAATATCATTAGTAGTATTAATATGTCAATAGTATGTTTAACATCAGTGTTGGTATTATGTGCTATTTTTAAACTGTATGTGCAATATGTCAACACAATGCAAGATTTTACTATCATGTACAATATCACTTTATTGCCTAATTTTCATACTTCTTTCTTTTCTATTCTAGTTTTATTTGCACTTACTTTATTTTTCTTACTAATGTATCATGCTTATATCTTATTGCTAGTCTGTTAGACACTGCACTTGTTCTCTTATTGTATTTTTGGTACAAGTATTTCCTATAAACCTCTGCCTTTGCTCTCCTATGACACATTTCTCCGTCTTGCAATCCCTTTTAAACTTTTAATTAAAAAAACTTGCTTAGTCTGTTCTTACGTCTTCATAACAGGAATTAATCGCTACAAACGTATAAACCCACGGACATTACAGATAACAGGTAAGTTTGTGACTGGCTCTGTGGCGCTGCTCTGACACACAAAGGGGGCGTGGTCTGTTAGCCAAGGGGCGGATAGAATCAGCTCCTGGTCTCTGATTGGTCTAGATTGTGGCGTTCTTTGACGTACACTAAATACTATTGGCTCCTCGCAAACGTCACCTTTGTGCTGGGAGACGGCTCGACCAATCACAGAGCAGCTCTCTCTCAGCTGATTCAAAGAGTTCTCGGTCCGTACGCGGTTACTTGGACAAGCAGGTTTCAGGTAAATGACACATACAGATAAATTACATGTTTCTTGTGCTGAAATCTGTCACATTTATGTCCTGCGCGTTATAAAATTAGATAAACGCACTTAATTGTACCTGTAAAGAAACATATTTTATCACTGTGCCTGTGACAGATCCGGACTGTCTCACCTGTTTTCATTTACTATGGCTACACGTGTTCGACCGGTGAGTTACAACAATATTAAACACGCACCTTTTCTAATCCCAGGTCTGTTTTTGTTGTTTTATCCGTGTCAGTAATCGCCTCCTGCTTGTCTTGCAGAGTAATAAACGGTGTGCAGTGATCGGGGGCTCCGGTTTCCTGGGCAGACACCTGGTGGAGAAGCTGCTGGATCGAGGCTATTCTGTTTCTGTGTTTGACATCCGTCAGAGCTACGAGCTGCCCGGCGTCACTTTCCACCAGGGAGACCTCTGCGACAGACAAGTGAGACTCCTCTCACTCCTTTGTCAGACTTAAATCACACAAATTGGAGCATGGTACTTCACCTGATGGCAAAACCAAAAACGTAGAAAGTTTTTACCTGCGACAATTATGACGGACTGTCAGGAAAAAGACACTAGCAGCCCTAAAAACTCATCTCTGTGAATCAAAGTTGTGTAGATTTTTTTGTTCTACATGAAATATATCCCTCCTTCCCATGTCTGATTGAACTCCACACTGTTGCTTCTTCTATTATTCACAGATCAGTAAAGTCCCCACTATCTACCTCCATGCAGCCCTCACATGCTTGCTGCAGCTCAAGCACACCAGCTCACATTCCCACATTCAATTATTTTACATCTCACAATGGCAATATTGGAGTATTTCAGTCATACATGTTTGAACTGAAACCTGATTCTGGTGCTGACTGCTTATCTAGCTCATGATGGGTATTCTAGCATTAAAAAAACACTATTTGGACATGTGAACAAGGTTAAAAAAAATAGATTTTCACTGTTAGTCTGGGGCTGTTTGAATGCTGAAGACCGTTGCTAATGAGCACGAAGTCATTTAGGAAATATCCCTGTTCTAAAGCAAAATGATTCTTCTGATGCTGAGACTATGAAAGTGTTTGTCTTGTTCTGCTCCAGGCTCTGCTGCCAGCTCTGAAGGATGTGTCCCTGGTTTTCCACTGTGCCTCTCCAGCCCCTGCCAGTGACGATCGTGCGCTATTTGAGAGGGTCAACATTCAGGGTACCCAGACCGTCATCGAGGCCTGCATCGAGGCCGGAGTACAGGTGAGGCGGTGTGTTTCTATGCCTAAAGTTTACTCTTAAAGAATGTGACAAGACATCAAAGTGTTTTTACTGTTCAATGTTTGTAGAAACTGGTCCTGACAAGCAGCGCCAGTGTGGTGTTTGAGGGGACAGACATTAAAAACGGGAGGGAGGATCTGCCATACGCCAAGAAGCCCATCGACTACTACACAGAGACCAAAATTAAGCAGGAGAAGGTAGGATAGGGTTTGTTTTTTTTCCAATTTCAGTTTGTTGGTGTGACAATTGTGATCCAGTTATTGGCACAGTTTCCTCAGTAACACCTTTAGATTCACTACTGCATGACGTTTGAATGCTTTATCCATTATGATATATGCTGTCCTCCTCAAACCAAGCTCACTTTAAAACTGAGGCTCTGAATTGCACTTAGCAATGATTTTGAGTCTGTGTGTTAGCCTTGTGATTTACTGAAATTACTGGATGTTAGCCCAGTTTTCAGCTATTCTTCTTGTGAAAAGGAATAAATGCCTGAATAATTGACTCATTCAGTGAATTAATCGTGTCAGAATGTATTCTTTCCATATGATGTGATTAGTGTCAATATACATTTTATACAATTATCTTCATTTCCGTTAGTATTGTACAATAGCATAATGTTGTTGTGTGTGCCCGTTATAATCGGTCACATGTTTGAGAGTAAAGAGGGCAAACACAAGAGCACTTCTCCACTGTTTTGCAGATTTCCTAATATGCTGTCCTTTTGTGTTGTAGTTGGTCCTCGAGGCGTGTGACAATCAGAAGGGTTTCCTCACAGTTGCTATTCGGCCTCACGGCATCTTTGGTCCTCGGGACCCACAGCTGGTTCCCATCCTGGTGGACACGGCTCGCAGGGGCAAGATGAAGTTCATCATCGGGTGAGTCATGGAGGTGTATTTATTCAACGATTACATCAGTTACGTCAAACCAACTGCTTTTATCTTCTAATTCAAAATGATGCATTATAATTACCAGAGCAAAAAATCACTGTGAAATACAGTTATGGCCTATAGACGTCATCGTACTGGGACTTAACATTAATCAGTGCGTTTAGGGGGACATTTTCCCAGAAAGTGTAGAGTTGTATGATGTATTCTTGACGTCTGGACAATATTTTTATTTTAGACACATTACTTGACAATGAGCTTGTGTTACATCCCAGATGTCTGAGATTTGATAGAAGGGGGAGTTTAGGTTTTTAACGAAAAACACTATTATGTTCTTTTAAGGGAACTGTAGGATTCTTCTTTTCATAAACAAGTTAACAAGTGACCAGAAATGTCTTTGTGCTCCTGAAATCTGAAGGCCACCAATTGGTTGTATTCCACATACAAATTGACAACGTGATTAAACTTCAACTTCAACTTTATTATTTGTCCCTTGAAGGGTGATTTGTTAAGCAGCAGCTTACATAATAAAATAACAATAAAAACAATAAAAAACAAATTAAAAGGAAATGTTTTTTTAAGTAAAAAAAAAAAAACACAATAAAACAATTTTTAAAAAAAAATCAAAAAGACAATAAAAACAATAAAACATCACACAAAACATAAGACAGACAGGGACATGAGCAGCAATCCTGGGCATTGATTTAGTCTGCTGTATTCCAGTACAAACAGTCGCTTCGTCGGCAGCAGCAAGACAGAATGAAGTAAACAACGTGCATTGTGTAACTGGCTTAATGCACAAAGCACCAATTATCAGAGGCTTCAGATTACTCTGCTAACGTTTTCTAGTGTTACTGTTTCTAACCTTATTCGAGACCTTTCAAACAATCCCGTGTGCTTATATGGTCATTGAAAGTCCTGTTGGTTTTTTTCCCTCATCTAGCTGCACACCTACATGCCACTCTCCTCTTTAGCCACATTCACTCACACATGAGCCTCTCAAATACTCACCTGCCACTTGAAAAGTTGAAATAAGTGGTGAGGTAGTCATTCAGCTCATAGGCTGCTGAGGGGCTGGAGGCTTTAATACTCGTTTTTGGTTTTAGATCCTTTGTGCGTAGTGGTAGATTTCTTTATTTAACGTTGTCTTTGTTTTCATCAGCGATGGGACCAACCTGGTAGATTTCACCTTTGTGGAGAACGTGGTTCATGGACACATCCTGGCTGCTGAACGCCTGAGACCCGACTCCCCTATATGCGGGAAAGTGAGTGACAGTAAAATCTGAAGCAGAGAGCTACAATCTCTTTGAATATGGGTCATTGCGCCCCAGTTCAACAAATGGCCCACATCTGATCATCTTCAATTTGACTGTTTTGGGGTTTTTTTTGTTAATGTGGTGAACATTGATTGAGTTGGCCATGTGAAAAATCTGGGCTAGTTTTTTGAGAATTCTTAAAGAGGGGTGGGGTCCTGTTGATTTTTTTTCACCATTTTCTTCATGCCAATCCGTGGAGCAACGTTTAAAGTGCCATCATTTGAGAAATAATGTAGCTAGAGTCCTGACATTTTGCAGGCTCATTGATATGCACGTATGGTCTTCAATGGTACAATGCTGCTTCAATAGAACAATTCAAACCAGTTATATGATGGTGATTGATTATGGTGCCAGTCAGAGGCATCCTTTAAGAGAAAGAAGTATTCAAATTCAAACATTTTTCTACAGATTGGTGCCAAGGAAAAGGTGCAAAAATCGGCACGACATCACCTTTCTTAAAGATTTTTAAATTCATTACCTATGGGCCCAGATTTGACACGTTTTACTTAATAGCATGCACAGAAAAAAAAAAAATCTGCCAAATATGAGATGGTCAGGAGTGATTTTTTTTCTTTTATTATTATTAGGTAAATTGATTTGGAATGACCAACATATCTTTTTTTTAAGATCTAACATTGTATTGCTTTGACGTCCACACTGAAATTTAAGATGAATGAATCTTTAATCTTGCACCCTCCGCTCCTTTAACAGCCGTATCACATCACCAACGACGAGCCAATTCGGTTTTGGGACTTCATGTCAGAGGTGTTGGTGGGTCTGGGATACGCTGCTCCTCGCTATCACCTCCCCTACGCTCTGGTGTACGGACTGGCCCTGCTCCTCTGGCTGCTCAGTCTGATCCTGCGTCCGCTAATGAGTTTCAAACCAACCTTTACACCCATGAGAGTGGCTCTGGCTGGTACTCACCACTACTACAGCTGCGAACGCGCCAAACAGGACCTGGGCTATAAACCGGTTGTCAGCTTGAAGGAGGGGATTGAGCGCACGGTGAAGAGCTACCCTCATCTCAGACGTGGTGCTTGATGGCAGAATGGAGATAAAAAGCTGCTGATACACGTATGACTGTGGGTGTTTGTACAGTCATGATGAGAACGAGGCGATGAGGTTACACTGAATGGATGATTCAAAATGATGGCAGTGGCTGTTTATCCAAAATTCACAGTATGTGAACTTTTTTTCAACTTTTATGTACTATTTCCACCAGCAGATGGCAGCAAATGGACTTTCTTCTTTTTTGGTGCACCCACTGCAGACTGAACAGTAAATGGCTACATAATGTTACAACAATAACTGACGTAGCATTGATTGCAGTTGATTTTAGTTCCGTTCTCACTGTTGTTTTTCAGTCATGTGCTGTGTACACACTGAGATGCTGTTGCTGAGATGTCAAAATGCCTTAATACATTCCAGGAAGAGTTCGTGCTCCAGAGAAAGTGTGTGAACATTCCTACCTAACATACAACATGGCCACATGTATGTTAGCACTTTGTGTATTTTGGCAGAAGGCTCGGAGTTTCAATTAAGTAAAATCTGAAGCAACACTCAAGACAGTAGTGTGCTTGTGAATTTCTTTTAGGAGGAACACCCTGTGGTGATTCAGCATGGCAGTGCCTTCAGGCCTAAAGTGAGGTTCATTAAGAAATAGTTTTCTGCATTTGGAGGACAACAACTTAAATGACTTTCACAGAAACCCTGACCCGAATCCCATTGAATACCTTTAGGACAGATTAAAATGCTGATTGTGAGCCAGACCTTATCGCCAAACATCGGCGGCTGACTTCACTAATGCTCTAGTGGCTGAATGGAAGCAAATACCTGCAGTCAGGTTTCAAAACTGTGTGGAAAATGTACTTAAATCTTTTGAAAATATGTCCTAAATTGGTACTCAAAGACTAATATAGACAGTGAATGTTTTTTTGTTTAGGGTGATGTAAATGTTCCTCCTGTTTAAAGTGCCCATAAAGAGATTCACTCCTAGTGCAATTACAAGCTGATATGTGGCTTCAAGAGTTTGTGATAGAAATGTCAAATGGGTATATTCCAAACTTAATGTGTTTCTTACTTCAAGATGAGTCAGTTTTGCACATTTAAACTCAATAACATGTTAACCGAGGTGCTGCACAACATCGCCATTAAAACAAGACAATAACAGCCATCTAAATCATTGTATGAAAAACGACGAGGGCAGTCCTCCTGTAACTGTACACCCAGTAAAAAATGAAATTGGATCTAAACCAAAAAAGCCCAGTAAGTGTAAATATGTTTTTATTTGGCATTTGAAAACCGGTTGTGAAGGTGACCCTAAGTGCCAGTCTAGATCCAGGAGCTGCTGAGCGATTATGGGGCAAAACAGTGTGACACGTCTGACAGGCAAGCTGGGGCTAGTTCCTTCAAGCACATAAGGACAAACTGAGTGTTCCTACTTTTTGTACCACCTCTGCTAAGCTGGAGAACAGCATCCTGGGAAAACAAAAAGAGCAGATTTTGCACTGAAACTTCGATTCCCATGTCATATGACTAAACCAGTTAGCTTAGGCTAAACACCAGGACATTCACAGAGCAGGGGCTGCCTCTTACATTGGGAATGAACTACGAAAGGATACGTTTATGGAAATGAACAGGAGGAATAATTGAAGCCATCAATAAGAGGAAGATGCTCCTTGTTGAAATGTTCATCATACATGCCCATGGATTAACATGTACAAGATTCACGCCCTTTTTACGCACCTTTCTGGATCGTTTTATGCCACTCTGGCGTCACATTCTGTCATCAGGACGGCATGTGTTTCCGCAAGCAAGAGAAACTATTAAAATACTATTGAATGACTGTCACCGAACACAATACTGGGATGGGCAATGAAAACGCAGAATGAGCTACAGTTTTTATATTTCCACATTCTTCATTTTGATGACGGCGAACACATTAAAAGCCATGAAACCGATTAACTCGTAGGCACCGGAGTGCCTCACTTTCACAGTATTCATGTTAAATGTGTCTATCACAGAGGTTTTCTTTTTCTAGGTGTAGCATTTTTGTCATTCCGTGTCTTGGTGTGGTGTCAAGTAGGTGGGGGTTAAGTTCAGATACTTAGCATTCTCATTTTAATTCTGCACCAGCAGCACCCTAATGATTCACTGCGAGAGTCGGAGCCACCCGCCAAGGCCGTCGGACTGGTTTCTTGTGAGGGAGAGAGGGATCCAGGTAGATAATAGAGCCGAGCGTTTACACTTGCCAATGTGCTCACCAGAGTGAAACTTTGGCTCTTGTGTTTGCCAGTTTCCTTTTCCACATTCTTTCTGTGACATTGCGAAATCTACTCACACCCGTTCCCTGATTTGAAAAAAACTTTGTAAAAATGTGTACAGGATGTGTTAGATTTGTATTTTATTTTATTCTTTACAGACACAGTCGTAAGTTGTTCTCCGTCTTGTCTTTTTAAGAAGTGTAAACTGTGGCCAATTGCTCAGAAAAGTGCTCTGTTACCAGTTGTTGAGGAAATTGCTTTGACAATTGCAGGAACTTATTTGCCTTTCACTTACACCAACATACACACAGTCACACACACATCGCAAACATTTTGTTTGCCCTAGGCTTTCACATGTTCCTCTACCTAGAATATGTATTATAAAGCACAAGGTCAGATATTTGATCTTCAAAGCAACACATGTATGAATTGTCACTTTTCTAAAGCAGAAAGACACATGAAAGTACTCAAAGGTTTTGTTTCCAATATGTAATTAGAAGTTCCCACTATTGTTAAAATGTTAAGCTTTCATGTTATTTTTATTCCAGTGTGGACCACTGCTTTCTGTTTATTATCTCACTTCAGTTCTGTGTGATGTCCTTGATCTTATTTTAATGATGTGTGTGCTTCCTGGGTTTTCCTACCCAGTGAGCGTGAGATGAGCATTCCCACAGGAGATGTTGCCGCGAGTCGCTTCATTTATGTATGCCATGCTGTGCACCTTGTTGTCGTCCCCTTCCCTCCGCTTTGCTCGTTCTGAGAATCAATTGTCAGCCACCTGGGCGACAGGTATGTGCCTGCTGACTTCCATGAACAAAGCGCAGATGTGGTAAACAAAAAATTTGTACTTAGCAACCTCTGTTACACACACACACACACACACACAAATGGATAGACAAACACATAGAGCTCCACCCCACATCTACCTTCCTTGACTGGCTGGGCTTGTCAGTGCTCACGCCCGTACCTGTTCGCTAGCACAGACACCTGTCAGACAGAAAAAGACCTCACCTCTGCTCACACCAGTCACACTCAGAGGGGACACACTGTCACAGATTCTGCTAGGACGTTTCTCGGCTGCATATAATCAGGTAGGTACTCATGCCATGGGGGGTGTTTAACTTATTTGTAACCCTGTTTAGCAAATCCCTTAATTACTTCATGTATTTGGAATGTGTAAGAGTCCTGCTATGTAAATTGTTTGGCAAAAGTGTTAACAGGTGATTATCTATGTTTGCCGTGTCATTTTTTTCCCCCAGATTGCTCTCTGTCATGATTGCTTGTCAGTAAAAGTTGTCTGTCGTGCTCCCTCGCTCTTAAATGCCATTTTTGCTTTTCATTAATCATTAATCTTGTGTGGACTGATGTGCTAAGCCCAGGATAAATATGCTTTCTGTGCCCTCAGCCTGTTTGCACTGTCACCAATATTCAGGACAATATCCTCAAGAGATACTGTGTCGACTTGCTCGAGAAGGAGTGAATTTACAGCCCCAGGAGTTGTAGAAGTTGTATTTGCATACTGAATTTGGCAGTACTCCACAATTTTTGCATGAGCTGTAGTCGGTACCTACTTTCAGATAAGGGAACACTTGCCAGTGTTTCATTAGTATTTTTTTTTCTTTTTGTCTTTACTTCCCCCTCGGGGGAGTTGGGTTTTCCTTGGAGTGTGTTATTTTTGACCGTAAATGACTGAGAGATCAATTAATTTGTAAATGACTGAAAAGAAGCAATATTTGTTTACTCACATTAATCATTCCACACTGACATACATTGTGTCCAAACACAAAGATACAGATATGTATGTAGGTATTCATCCATATTTAAGCAATTGCGGTCTTTTTGGAAAGTGGTAGGACAGGATGATCTGCATGTTTAAAGGATGAGAATGAGGAATGCTTGACAGAGCACATGTTCCTTATTGGGAGGGGACGTGCTGTGGGAAGAACCATTTTGAGACTGAGTCAGTGTGAGTTTTCTGTTAAAATTGTACACTTTCTTTACAACAAGATGTCTGTCACCGATGTGTTTTCAGGTGGCCTGTGAAGAAAGCTGAACAAAGAAAACAACCATGTCAACCGGTGAGCATGCTGACTTATCTGATCTGAATGTGGGATGATGAGTTTCCTCTAATAAAAGCTGAGAGTATCACGCCTCTGCGCCAGACTGTAAATTCTCTCATTGCCTTGATTTAATGCACAACACAAGTGGTTGATTATGTGGTGCGGGCTGGCCCAAAGGGAACTGTATATCTTGCATCCTATCAAGCAGACAATTATTAAGATGTCATTATGATGAAGTCTACAGTGTGTATAATACCTCAGATGCTGTGTGGGTAACTGATGTGCGCATGTTTGTGTCTCAGCGGGAGAAAGAGATGCTGTATTTCGTAGCACCAAAGTCCGGACCAAGCTGAAGGGAGACGGCAGCTGGTTGCAGCGCCGCAATGAAGCTCAGGCTGAAACCCAGGACGAGAAACCATGGTAAACTCCTTGTTTAAACAGGGTTCAGTCCATAGTTTTTATTAGTGAATCACTTGAATAGATAAAACCAAGTTTCTGTGCATCCATGCAGGATGGCAGAAGTGAGAGCCAGCCGTTTGAACGGAGCCCCTATTGAGACCAGTCCAGTGTCTTCACCAACAAAACCCACACCTCCACCTGCAAAGACTGACACTGACAGGTAAACACAGGTTTTTGCTGTAATATCGCAGCCTTATCTACCGAGCACTTTGAAACATGATTGTGCTGATAACAAGTTTCTGTTTTAAACTTAGATCAACATCAGGATACCTCATCAGGTGAGAGAAACATTTCAGGAATGATCTAAGTTGCAACAATACGGCAACTTTTACCACTAAAAAGATTTAGTCGGCCGACTTGAGACGTAAACCTTCATCAAAAGCAGACATATGTATATCTGATCACTGACAGATTGCACTACATTACACAAAGAAAAGTTTTTTTTTGTTGTTGTCCTTTCAGAGGCGTTTTAACTCCACTAGAAAAGCCTTCTTCATCCTCAACATCTAATGGCTTTAGGTAAGAGTGTCATTTGCTTGAATAATCAAGAGATAACAGCATGACGAGAGACGCCCTTTGATCTCCCTCTCCGATTCCCACATCAATATTTTCTGCCTTTATTACAGCAAAACAACACAATTCACCAAAAAGCCTTCAGAGAGCTACAAGAGAATGTGAGTGTGCATAAATCAGATTCCAAGTTGTCTGCCGGCAGCTGAGTGAGAATGTATTTTCATGAGGTTTATGTTTGTGCCGCTCTCTTCCTCAGAGCCCCCCACACTGTAAGGCCCACTTCAGAGAACCAGGAGGGCCAGCTTAGCCCCGAGGAGCAGGAGAAACGGTAAGATTCTGCTCGAATTCTCAAGTAAAATGCCTGGGATGGAGATTACATTAACATCATAATGATTCATTTTGCAGGACTGAAGCAGCCAGCAGTGTTCTGAAGAAATCAGCTGGCAGGCAACGATCTTATGTGCTTTCTGCTGCTAAGAAATATGAGTATGTTTGTTTTCTGTCACTCCTCAAAATACTTCTTGTATGATTCAACCTGCTTTAAATAATAAAAGAAGCATGTTTGTAAAAGTTCCCACCCACTGATAAATTGTGCTTATTGGCTAAGGAGCATTTATGGAGGAATTTATGGAATCTCTGTGTTAAAAACCCTCAGGTCTAAAGAAAAAGCACCTGACACATCACCGGTCAACAGCAGTCCATCATTTGTGGCTAAAAGGTAATTGCTTCTTGTAATATCTCTGAGCCTGAAGCCAAAAGAAAGACATTAAAAAAAAAAAGAAACTGTGAAGGATGTGATCAAATGTTTCTCCATCTGTTTTTTCCCCCCTAACTCCACACATACTGTACATTCATGTCTGTGTGCACATGTTTCTTGGCTATAAATGTGCAGGGTGGAGATTACTGATGATGATGAGAGCGCTGTGACTCCAGCACCTGCCAGCGCTGTGCCGCCGTCCCCTGCTGTTGCCATCACATCTGTTGCCTCTGCGCCTGAGCCCAAACCTCGGAAATTGTAAGCCCCGTGCCATGTTTCTATTTCCTGTGCAACAAGTGATTTCTGCTCCTTCCGTTTTGTTCATTATCTGTGTGGTTTACAGAGTCAGCGCCGGTGCTAAGACAGCTGTTGATGTTGCTGTTAATGAGCCAGTGGCTCCAAAGGTGGAGGAGGCCACCCCAGAGCCTGTGAAGAAAGACCCCCTGCCAGTGTCTGTTACAGGAAAAGATCCATTTGAAGACATGACGCCTGGCTGCACCAAAGTGGCCACTCCTCTCCCTGAGCTGATCGTCGAGTGTATTCAAGCAGCGTCTTCAAAGCCAGAACCTGAGGAGTCAGACACTTCTGGGAAGGCTGACAGCCCTCTGGCTGAGCGTAGCCCTCCAGTCTCACCTACTCCAGTATCTACTGCACCACAAGAAACTCCTGCCCCACAGTCTCCTGTCCCACCTCCAGCTGTCCCAGAATCACCTGCTCCAGTGTCTCCCACACCACCATCTCCTGTCCCTAAAGCTGAACCAGAACCAGAGCCAGAACAAGAACCAGAACCAGAACCAGAACCAGAGGCAGAGCCAGAGCCAGAGCCAGAGCCAGAGCCAGAGCCAGAGCCAGAACCAGAGCAGGAGCCAGAACCAGAGCCAGAACCAGAGCCAGAGCCAGAGCCAGAACCAGAGCCAGAACCAGAGCCAGAGCTAGAACCAGAGCTGAAAACTGAATCATCTCCAAAACCAAGGTCAGATTTCCATAAACCAAAATACTACAACATGTGGCTGCATTTTGCAGCATCGTGTCCGTGAGTCGTGTTACATTAGTAATATTTAGGTACTTGAATGTAGCCATACCTCTATAAACTCCCACTCCACCACATTACAGAGGCGAGCATTGTACTTTTTAAAATCTAAGTTCATATTAGAAGAAGAGGCCTTTATTTGTCTCAGATACATTACAGCACAGCAGACTTCTGTTTTTGCATAATCTCTTTTGGGGTCAGAGTACAGGGTCAGGACCCTGGAGCAGAGAGGGTTAAGGGCCTTGCTTAGGGGCCCGACAGTGGCAGCCTGGTGGTGCTGAAGCTGTAACCCCCGACCTTCTAATCAATAACCCAGAGACTCAACCGTCGAGCCTCCACTGCCCCACTTAACTGTGTATATTAACACTGTACATACAAAAATCTACTTCATATTATACAGTATTGTCGATTGTTTAAGCTTAAACTACGAAACACTATGAAAAGTGGCTAAATTTCACCATCCATCCACCTTCATGATACGCAACATTAAATTCTACTTACACAGTTATGTATTAGTTCTAATAGTCCAGTTTTCTACTTTTACTTTTAATACTTACAATATTTTACTGAAAATAATAATAAGTGAAATTGTTGAATGTGTTCAGGTAGTGCTACTTTCGCTTAAGGAAAGGATCTGAAAACTACTTTCAAGCTGCATCACTACAACCTATATGTATTTTTAAAGGATTTCTATCTAAAATCAAAGCTCTTGATGTATTTTCTTGTGGTTTTCTTTGCCTATGCCTTTATGTTTGCTCTCATGCTTTCACTTGTGTGATTGAAAGCTGCCCTGGAATGCCCAAATATTTACTGTCCATCTATTTCCACAGCTCCAGCGCTGACACGCTCACTGCCTTGTCCGACACCCTTATTTCTTTCGACGGAAGTTCATCCAGGTATTTCTAGCGAAAGCAAGAATCCAATATGCAAAAAAAAAAAGTAAATAAATAAAATCCTGGCAGGAACATGTTAGCGCTCACAGCCTCAACAATATGCCATCAGATAATAAGAGTATATTTTCTCTCCAGCTTTAAGGACGAGGAGCCAGAGCTGGCAAAGAAAGAAAGAGGCTCAGCGGACAGTTACACCACAGAGAACAGGTATAAAACCAACAACTTGCTCAGTCATGTCAAAGCAGGGTTGGCAAGAAAACAGATGAGGGCTACCTGCCATGTGTTCACTTCAAAGTAATTAAAAAAAACAACACACATCTCAGTCTCAGGTGCCTAAAATAACCTCATACAAGAGGGCTGTCCCAAATTACACTTAATTAAATCGGTAACATGAAAATTTAAATTAGATGTAGGTGCTTTTTTTCCCCTTTTCTACCAAAGCAGGTGCAACAATGTATATTTGTTCTTCTCTTTCTTCCTGCAGTGTTGAAGAAGAGCCAGCGCCCAGCATCTGTGAACCACTAACAGACGACCTCCTGGGTTTCAATGATCGGTTTGTGAAAAATACCTTCTTACTGACTGCACAATTAAACGCATTCTCACGTCGGAAATTCTTTGAATATCACCCACAAGGTGGCACTGTTGGACTTCTTATAATCTCTCCTCCACCTCAAATGGCCTGTTCTTCTTCTTGCACTGAAAAAACCCTCCTCAGAATCCCCAAATCCCCCCTTTGTTTATCAACTTCCTCCCCTTGTTTCCGCCTCTGCAGTTCGGAGGAGTCAGCAGAGCCCGTTCCCTCCAGCCCTGGACGCTGGAGTCAGGATCTGCTTAGCGGACTAGACAGGTAATGGAAGAGCTTTTTTCCCACCCAAGCCCTTAAATATAGAGTTGTGTGAATAATTATTCAAGTGGAAAATCAATAGCTCCCTCGTCAGTTGCAAGGAAAAAATATTACCTTAACTTACCTTGCCAGGGTTTGGATGTGCAGCGTCGAGTGAGCCGGCACACAAACTTTTGCTCTTTATTTGACTTTTGATGTCTTTAGTGAGTCAAGCCCAGAAAAAACCAGCGGCACCCTGGACCTCCTGGCCAACGATGTGATTGTGATCAACTCAGAGGCACGCAGGTGAGAAAGACGCCATGGCCTCTGCTCCCCATCCCGCCCTCCACGTGTACTGTAAATTTTTTATCACCCCCCCAGATAAAGGGGACAAGCATCCCCTGAGTTGTAAGATTTTTAATAAACCCCATCCGCCTCAAGTTTGATCCATAAATCAGGGCTCTTCCACTGCCAGCGTTTCTATTTTAACCCCTGCTCTGTGTTAGATAGAACCAAAGTCTTAGATTCCAGAAGCGGATGAGCAACACTTTGAAACGGAAAGCCTCTCTTTATCTGCAGCACGACTGGAAATAGAAGAGAATGTGCCGTGCTGATTAGTATTGCGGCTTTGTTTTTGTCTCCACCAGCCTCAGCATGCAGCGAGAGGAGGAGGAGAAGCAGACAGATGAGACAGCCAAAGAAACACAAAGGTAGAGGGAGATGACAGGCTGCTCTTAAACAATTATCTATCCATGCAGAGCTGTTCCTTCGAAGAAACGCGTTCTATTCAGATGTGCCTTGTAATGATTTATACTAACTCTCCCTTCAACTGTGCTGCTCGCCAGTCCCACAGAGACCGTCACTATAACGACCAAAACTGTGATCATTACTGACAAAAGGTGGGACAACACACACACACACACACACACACACACACAATCTGCACTATATTCAGATGGTTTTCATGCTTGTTAAATAGTTCAGTGGATTTCAAGTCTTTCTAATGGACTGGCATTGTAAATAGTGTATGAGAACAACCACACTAACCTTTACTTGCCCTCTTTTCTCTTCCCATCATGCCATTCATCCGCACCACCTTCCTCACTTTTCTGTCTCGCAGTGAGGAGGACAGCGCTGATCCCTGGAGCTCACGTGTGACGACCAAAGTCACCGAATCAAGGTAGTTTATTTAGTGCGCCGTCACACATGAACCCGTAGTGTAGAGAACGTAATATGTAATGAGGTACACACTGTCGTTGACACTCGTAGGTGAGTCGGTTCAATTGTCTAAAGGAAAAGACTTCCTTGTTAGCAAAGTATCTGATTTGCTATTGATGATTAGTTTAGTGTAATTGTTGACTTAAATCAGGGTTCATGTCAGGTTAAGAAAACCTGAAACACACTGATTTTCCCGTCCAGCAGTAGAACAGTCTTTCCATTTATCAAAGACATCCAGATTCTGATTTTGATCGAGTTTGGCTCCGAGTCCCTCTGTGTTTCTGTTTACCATTCAAACTGCATTAAATCTTTCCATTATGAGTCAATGTGATCAGAATTCCTCCGACACAAGATGGGCCATGCTGACAATTGAGAGTGAAATCAGTGTGAAATTGTTTTTCAGCTCGGCTGATCCGTTTGATCCATATCCGATAGGGACCACATCCCCTAACAGGTAATCATATTGGTTTGGAGCTGTGACTGTTTTCCAGCCTGCCAGATAGCATCTCAGCATGCATAATGCAGCAGTTTCTGATTATGAGCCACTTTTCTCTATTGCAGCTCCTCTGACCTGCTCCAGCCCCTCTCTGATATTTCCATCAACAGGTATGGGAATGATAATGGAAATCCCCCCTTTTTTTATCCATATTGTAACCTCTGTTTATAGCGGCGATGCTATCATGTTGCTACATAATGTCCTCATTACTACAGTTGTCTCACTTTGTTAGTTAATGCATTAATTATTATTCATAATCAGCAGATGTCATGCGAGAAGCGCCAGCAATCTGGATTGTGGCAGCAGTAAATCTTATTGATATGCTTATGTTGATTTATTTATTTCAACTCCTCAGTGCACCAGCAACTTCCACAGAGGAGGAAACCTTAAGTCCAAAGACAAAGTAAGTTAGTTATCCAACACTTTATCTGTGACTGAGGTAAAAAAATTAAGCAATATTTTCAGTTTATTTTTATTTATTAGCAGCAGATTAGTGCTGAAATGATTACACAAGTAATCTATTAGTCAGCAACTTTTGAATGTGAGGATTTGTTGCCCGTCTTTGTCTTCAATATCAAAAATCTTTCAATTTTGGGCTTTTGGTTGGACAAAGTAAGACGTGAAGACGGGTTCTGGCAGATTGTGACGGCATGTTTTTGTCTTTCCTGACATTTTACACAGAAACCAATTAATGAAGACTATAATTCATTGAATTAAATTAATCAATTACTCTATTAAGATTGAATTAAAAAACAAACAGCAAAAAAATATTCATAGTCTGTGCACAACAGCTTCTATTTCATTCTAATTTTATTCTTTTCCTTTCTTGTTTTGACAGTTACAACAGTAATGCATTGGAGAGCCTTGCAGACGACGTCATCCCTGACAGGTATTAAAACAAGTGTAGTGCGGAGCTGTTTAATAAATGTGTAAGCGAAAGATGGAAAAAGAAGGACCTGCAGAAATCAATTTCTCAAACCTACAGACATTACTCTCGTCTGATACGCTCCATCTGTCACAACTTCTGCATCCTCTCATTCTCCACTTTGGCTCTTTCAGCCTCAGCACTCAGCGGTCATGGACGCGCACATGGGAAACCAGCTCACCACAGCAGACTAACGTAGAAGAGAGGTGATGACACGCTTTGATTTACTCTTACACTTCCACAAAGCCCCCCTCCCTACTATCTTCCATTCATCTACGTCCACCCATCCATGTCCATTATGTGCTAAAAGCCTTTTAATGTATGTGCCCCCCCCCATCTCAGCGAAGAAGCTGAACCAGAGGCAGGAGGGCAAACTGAAGATCAGACGCTGGTCATGTTCGAGAGAAAGTAAGTCATCTTTTTATTAAAAGCTCTGGCTGCATACTGGCTCCTTTTGTTCCCATAACCTCCTTCCCTTTCACTGCGGTGAAGTAACTGGGCTCTTGTGGTATCTACTCACTGAGGCAGAAGACATTGTGCACTGGTCCTGATGAAAATAGGTCATATATATATATTCGTTACAGCTCTGTGATAAACAGATCGACTTGAAGCCTTTTTTTGTTTTGTTTTTTTTTGTGTGTGTGAATTTGTCAACCTCATGTCATGTCACTATTTGTGATCAAGGTCCACTGAGAATGACTCCCCATGGGACAGATGGACATCCCCCACTGTCTACACCATCACCAGCACTACTGGAGAAGATGAAGAAGAGGAGGAAGAGGAGGAAGAGGAGGAAGAGGAAAGGTAGCTTCACTCAGGCAGCACATTAAATGGATATTAAAGCTTTTTTTTTAAAGCTATTTTAGTAGGATGCAAATATTACAATTAAAATTCAATGGCTGTCAAACATTTAATTGAAAGCAAGCTAAATACAAGTTAAAACTTCCTCATGGCTCTGTGTGAGAATAATCAACTTCCTCAGCTTGTCATTTTCCTTTAATAATGTTGGTGATTATAACGCTGGAATGTCCTCTGTTTGTTTTTTTTTTGTTAGCCCCAAGGATACACAGACAGTCACAACCATCACCACTTTCAGGTTGGAGGAAAAAACTTTTTAAAACTCCCATCTTATCATCCAAAACTGTGGAGATTAGAAAGTCTTTAAGAGCTTTAGAGGTGTGTAGGTGATGTTTACAATTACAATGCATGGGAGGAGGGCTCCAGATGAGGCAGTGCTGCCGTACAATAGAAAACAGACCACACCTGTTCGGTACAGCCCGACTCCAGTAGAGCTGTGAGCCAGAGAGATCAGCTTCATACACTTATAAAAACTGCAGAATTCCTCTTCGCTGGATTGCATCCAGCTTATTGACAGCTGCGGCCGACTATAAAAGTCTAATACAGTTTTCTTTACTTTCCAGGGAGACACACAGCGAGCCAGAGCCTGCTATGGATCGGTAAGTTTATGATCTTGTTAACGTCAGACAGCATAATGCAATATAATACTTTCTCCAGAGTGTTATTTTCTACTCTTTGGTCTGTTGATTTTCTTACTTCTCTAAAGATACTCCTCTTAACTGGAGCTTTTTGTCTTTTACGACCCTGGAAATTTTAAGCAAGGACGTACTACTGCGTGGAAACTAAATTTAGCTGTTACTCAATGAGTGGCATGAATGCTTAATTTAATGGAATGTATTTAATATTAGACGCACACTATCAAATATTTAGGGTTATGTGGGTTTGTTGTACACTGTCACCTACAAGATCTGCTTTTGTGTCTCTGGAACACAAGCATCTTAGTCAGGCGGTGAGAGATTTAGGCCAAACCCTGCGGGAACGCAGCTGTATCCTCTTCATACTGTGGATCTAAAGTTACCTGCTACTCCCAGTCGACGCCTGGTTAAGACAGATTCCTGATTCGACTCTATTACTGAAGTCAAATGACAAGATTTGCTCTTCCATTGTCTTTCAATTTGCCCTCATTTCCTTCCCTCTAATTATCAGTCTCCAGATGTCAGATTAATGATGTGTATTAGAGATGTCCTTTTGTCAAATCACAGCCCGTTAAACAGCACGCCATTAACAAGCAATGGCAGAAAGTGATTATCCCCTGAGTTACATTTGACAGATGTAGAGTCCCTCTGTATTACCCATCACGCTACTGTTGTCAGTGAGTGAAAGATGGGACTAAAGCCGCTGCACTCCTGTCTCCAGCTCTGAAACCTTTACCAGGACCGTGATGGAAGAGGAGCAGCGCACCGAATCACCAGAACCTGAAGCCAAAAGGTGAATGATTTTTACAAACTAGAAATTTAAATGCTGCTCATATCTATTTTAACCACACACACACTAACCCACTGTTTACTTCACCTGCCTGTGTCTGAAGGGGGTTTGTGTATGTGAAGGAGTATGTAAATGCAACCGAGATGTCATTGCATAACCCCAGAGACGCAATCGATAGGTAAGACCAATAAATTATTTACGCAGTCAAATAACAATATTGATGCAGAATGCTGCTGAATAAATCTTCCTACGCAGCTCACATGATGATTTGCATATTGCTCTTGTTTCCACAGCGGGTCAGATTATTTGACTTCAAGCTCCATCGGTTACTCCTACAGCAGCCCCTCCACTTACTCCAGGTAATAACACAGTCTCTAAACCTCTGTCAGCCCAGTTTAAACCTGAGCCCCCTTTCTTCCTCAACACTTGAACTGCTTCCGTAATTCAGCAGCTTCCACCAGTGACATATCAAATGACATTTCAACTGCATTCATCTGTTTTTCTCTCTCTCTCTCTCGACTCCTTTTAATAAAACCTTGTAAGTTCAACTATTTCCCCTTTTCCTACGCAAATGACTGCAGCTGCTTACAGTTTAACTGCTTGAATTCACATCTTTCAGTTGTGAAACCTGAATTGTTTTTAGGCTTTTCGCTGTGACTGACACTTCCAGCTTGCATTTTGAGTGACATTTTAGCTCCTTTTAGCGTTTTCTCTTCAACTGATACCTTAACTCCTCTCAGTGCTGATATGAATTGGCATTTAACTTCATTGTATACTGAGACTTCAACTTCTTTTAGCCCTAATATTTGAACTCCCACTTCAGCTACTTTCAGTATTTGTTCTGCAGCTGCCACTTCAACTTTATTTCACAATTTGACCTATTTTAAATGATTCACCTGCATGTTTCCAGCCTTGAACACATGTATTTTGTCCAGAAAATGATGTCTTCTCTAGTTGCTTTAACTTCTTTTAGCCCTAATATTTGAACTCCCACTTCAGCTACTTTCAGTATTTGTAGCGCAACTGCCACTTTTCTCTTCAACTGATACCTAAACTCCTCTCAGTGCTGATATTGACATTTTAACTTCATTATGTGCTTAGACTTCAACTTCTTTAAGCATTAATATTTGAACTCCCACTTCAGCTACTTTCAGTATTTGT